TGTCAGTGTTGTATCTTTCTCTCACTTCTATTGTAAATATGTTGGTAATTTTGAGTCTATGCCCAACCGCGTGATAATAACGCTAAAGAAAACGAAATTAATTTATAGGGGTGTCTATCTTATTGAAATGAAAATAATGGCATGAAGGGAAAATTATGTTAACGCCTTTATACATACTAACACAAACACAAACACACACACACACACACACACACACACACACACACACACACACACACACACACACACACACACACACACACACACACACACACACACACACACACACACACACACGTACAAACCATAGTATTCTAGCTAGGGATGAAGATATGCTATTTTATAGAATTTTATATCGTTTCAAATAATGATTTCGCCCATCCAGAAACTACGAGAGGAATCTAAGATTTTTTTTTCTCGGTAACCTTAACCCCACCTATCAACACCAGCAAACATCGGCGGAGGCAGAGTAACGCCACAGCACACGGCCTGAAACACTAATCCCCGCAGTAGGACTACGGCGTAGCGTAGGATTTTAGGATTAGTCACGATGGTACACCAGGTGTGACTTTCTCGTCTACGTCAGTGGGGGGGGGAGGGAACATTGATGGCGAACAGTGCCTTTGCAACTTTGCATACGGAACACTTTTACGGCTTGATACACACAGGAGCTCACTTAGGCCTATTTGGGAAGCGTGTTCTGCTAGGTGCAATAACGTTTTGTTATATGCTTGTTATCTTAGTTGCATATTAATTTTATTGCATAATGAAGCAGAATACTATAGGTTATTCAATATATAGTAATAGTGTCACATAATAATGATTTTATTAATACGGTAATGGCAGTGATCATAATAATAGTGAAAATGACAATAACAACGAATATGATGAAAAGTAATGATAACTGTAATAACAAATATGCTGGTGATAATGGTTTTAATAGCGCTTATAATAATGTTTAAAATCTTAATAATGATAATAATGATAATTAATGTTTACACAGTCATAATCATAATAAAAATTATGCAATGACAATCAATCAGTCAATTGAGATTCGCTAAAATCTAGAGTGGGAGCCGGTTTTAATGCTCAAGAGAAGGGAGGAGCCAAGCGAGCGGCACCTGAGAGCCACACGCTGAATCCAGAATGAACTCGGCTGACAACGCTGCCGTGTGACGTCATCGCACGTCAAAAGTTCTCTGTTGGAATTTGAATGTCAAACTAAAGTAAGCGTAATGTTTGATTTGCTAGAAAATGGTGTATAATTTATAATAACAATTTCTCCTTTTCATGAATGGAAAATTAATTATCATTGTTTTTAAAGGAAAACGGTGATCGTGGCATTGCAATTTATTAGTAAAATATTGCAATAATGATAATCAAGGCTGGTCATGATAAATTATGCCTTTTACATAGCTCGCAAGTTAATCTTAATTTCTATCTTTATTACAATCTGATTGTCTAAAATCGTAACGAACTGACATGACAATTTTTGAAATTACTAACATTGACGGTTGGCCTCCTCCTTTCCGCTAATATTAAGGTCACATTAATACATCATTAATCATACTAAATCACTTGCTTAAGGTTTTGTGCATCAAACTGCTAAAATTAGATTAATTATTCTTTAAAGGTGGCGATCGGTGTTATGAATCTAAATTTCGTTTTGTATCCTACTGGATTGTTTATTTGCATCCACAATCGAGGGTTTTGTAAATCATTGACTATATTTAACATATTTTTAGAATGTTTTTTTTTTTAAGTAATAAATCTTATACTCTACTTTCATTATGCAGAAGTGCATTTAGTGTGAGCGATTCCTCCCCCATGACGCACCGAGTGCCGTGTGGCTGATTGTTTTCGTCACCACAGACGACCTTCGCCAAAACGGCAGCGCTATTATCTGACCTCTCGGGAGAAGACACCTTTGTCCAGTAACGTCTCCCTCAGACGGATTCTTGCCGGGGGGGGGGCTTCTGGAGGAGGGGGCTGACCCCGCCTATTCCGCGTCATGCCCAAAGGTATCGGATTTCCGGGGCGCAAAAGGCGAGCCGTGGGAAGAAGCAGGCAGTGTCAATCGGATGGGGGCTCCGGAAGTGAACGGGTGACGCGGCTACAGGTGATATCAGGTAATATGGGCCGTGTTTACAAAGGATAATGTCAGTAATGGGGATGATGATGAAGATAATCATAACAACAATAATAACAATAATAAGAACGGTGATAATGGTAATAAATAAAATATAGACTTTCGCTTGGGGGATATTACTCCCATTGATTATCATGGAAAATAATCAGGAGCCGAGAACTTTTCCTTATGGGACACGGCAATGAAGTTCGTCTTCGTCAGAGGTTTGGTCGGAGGAGGAGACCCACTTCGCCAATCCCTCGAGAAAGCTCAGTGATCTTTTCATCTTAGTTTGGTGCCATCGTCGAACTGGAGTGCCTTCCATTATGTCGTTGGTGAGAGTTGTTACTTTAGTCGCCTCTCTGCGCTTGAGGTGATGTAAGGAAGTTGATAAGGCCAGCCGGAGAGTATACAATGGAATCTCCTTTGATGTTTTCAAAACGGTGATGATCTGATTTGGATGAAGAGGAGTTATGTATTCCCTAAGCAATTAGGATTGGGAAGAGAGAAATGGGTCT